GTTCAATGATAATGCTAATGGGAAGGCAACTTTTTTAAACCGGCAATCTTAAAAAATCATGAATTTTCCTACGAAAACATGGCAGTGGATTTTAAGTTTCATGCGATAAATCTTCAAAAATCCGATTATGTTTCAAAAAACTATATATATATTCTGGAAGAAGAAGCTTCGCTGCATCTTCCTATAGTAAAAACTGAACTTCGATATTTTCCTGAACAAGTCGATTTTCTGAGGGGGCGCCCCTTAACATACGTTGAAAGCGCAGCCAATCGATTGCAACCTATCATTAAAGTCACAGACAACTAAATCAATTTACGCTTGCTTCATTCTGGCGAACGTAGAACTTGATGGTTATTTGAAAAAGTATATACTCATTCTTGTCAAGCGTATGATCAAATTCTATCTAAGATTCATAAACAGAATAGAAAGATTGATTTGTAGAAGAGTTAAATTAATAGGGAGTCACAGTGATATTAAATGAGCACTAGATTACAAGAGACTACATTGTTCACCATATCCAAAGGTAGAAGAATGAGTACCTCTTCAAAACAATTAAAATTTGCTCTCATCTTCCATGAAAAACCATAAAAAAGCTCATAATGTATCGTTCACTACAGTCACTTCGAAAAATCTGTCTATGCAATAATCAACAGCACTCTGCATTAAAAGAATTGAGCCAAACTCTGATAGTCTTTTCTGAAGTCATTCTTTAGATTCTATGAAAACAACGTTCAATGAATAAATCTTTAAATTTTAGGATCAAAAGAGCATTCGTACTCTGTATCAGAACAAATTGACTTCATCTACACACAAAGCAGTCTTACACACGATCACTACAAAACCACCGAAAACCAAGAAAGGTTATGATAGTTCTTTCATTTGAAATGTTTGCTTCTATCAAACAACGGCAAAAACTGGAAGTGATACGCAGCATATCTTACTAGGAAGCTCTTGTTTATCAGGTTCTAGATTTGGGTTCCATTTTCAGAATCTTTTAAGGTTCGAGCATAATCTGGTTCTATCTCAAACCTTTTCTTCTTTCTTTTAAAAATGGTTCTAGTTAGCTAGAAACCAGTTCATTCGAGACGCTTTGTCTAGTGCTGCTGATTGATTCTACATCTAACGACCTATTTCTATCCTTAGCCGATTATTTCTACCTCTGACCGTTATATCTATCTTTGTCCCCTATTTCTATTCTTAACCTTAATCTTAACCCTATCCTTAACTCCTATATCTAGTCTTGACCTTATCCTTACCCGGTGACAAAATGTCAGATTATACTCGATTATATCAGATCATAATTCGATTTTTGTGCAACAAAATGAAAATGATAATCGATTGAAATCTTCTAAATTAACCATGGTTTGATTTTAATCAAAATTATTGTTTTCAATTTTTGATTAAAATCAAATTATGGTTAATTTAGAAGATTTCAATCGATTATCATTTTCATTTTGATGCATAAAAATCGGAATATAATTTGACCCTTTTCCACTGAATAACCGTAATCGGGTGTTCTAAAAGACTCTTTCAACTAATTTTTTGCATGTGTTTGCAATTTTATCTAACTTGATCAATTATTTTTTTTTTAAATGATAGGTAAATGTGTCAAATTTTATTGATACAAGTAAACTTCGAAAGTACTGTTCAAACATGTAAAATTTAACCCAAATACAAAAATCGAATTTTTTTCTCTATTTCCAGAAAGACTTATAAATGATATCTATTTTAATTGCTTGAATTTTGACTTGATATCATTCAATTCATTTTTATGAAGACATATCAAAATGAAAGTCTATGAAAAGACTTTTCAACGATCAGACTATTCAAAAATCCTCATTGCTCAATAACTTGTAGGAATTAAAAAAGAAATTGCATCATGTTTTTTTTAAGTTTCGACAAAGATTTTATTTTTGCATTCCGGTTGCGGTTCACATCTTTGAACAGTCATTCTGATGTTTTTTTCGTATCGATAAAAACTCATTGTATTTACCTACAGTGGCGAACCATCAGCGTGACAAAGTGTGACTATTGCCACACCAAAAATATTTCAAATAATCGACAACCGGACAAAAACTAATCATCAAAACGATTTTTTTCGTAATTGCCACACCAAAAATTTTGATGCTGGCGCACCGATGTTTACCTATCATTTGAAAAAAACATAGTTAATCAAGTTAGATCAAATTTCAAATATATCGGAAAAATTCAAGCGGAAGGGACTTTTGGAATACTCGATACTTTTCCCCTGAACTCTTATATCTGGCCTTAACCGCATGATTTCATTCTTAATTCGTTAATTCTAATTGTAATCACTGAATTCTATTTGTAATCGCTTAATTCTACTATTAATTCTTTATTTCTATCCTTACCCATTAGTTATATATCTAACTTTTTTTTTCTTTTCTCTAATATATACTCCGATATTTAACTCGTGTATCTATATCTAAACTCCAATGTTAAACTAGTTTAAGCGCGATGAACACCAAGTGAGATGAAGAGGAAGATATTTTCATAGTTTAAATTTGTCTACTGAAGAAATATTCTATCTAATGAAAAGAGTGAGCAAACTTTTAGCTTAATTTGCTCAAACAATCAACGTCCTAAAAGTGGTAGCGAAGACATCATCGTAGAGATTTATGAAATTCAAATAGAGATAGCTATCAGTCGTTAGAATCTCTGTTTCTGCTGGGACAATTTAGACATCTCAAGATTTTACTGAACAGATTCTATTGACAATATAATTGATGTTTTTCATATTGCTCTCAAATTTAGCTGCGTCTGGCAAAATATTAAATGTAAATTCACTAATAAAGTATGCGAACGTAATAGTAAGATGAATGGTAGAACGATAAAAATAGGGACGATTTAGATTAATCGTGTTTTTGATCAGTGAACAGCGATCTCTATTATAGAAAGCCTGAAAGAAAATAATTTAATAGGAAAATTTCTGTCTATAATACTTCAGAGACATTCACTAAGAAGCTTTTTCTATTGTTAACTTTGGAAGAGCTTTCAAATGAGACATATAAGATTATGTGACATTTAATGAGGTGTCCGGGATTCGAACGTTATTGCAAACGTCTAGTAACACTTGACAAAGTTCAAAGAATCTGTTTGGCCTCTTTTATTTCTAATCCAATACAGACGACTTGTGTTAGAACTGTGTTTCTAAAAGGAGGAGAGCATAAAGAAAATGGTGCAGTATAGAACCCTTTTAAATTGCTAAAACCATTTTCTATCAACCACGGTTCTTTATGGAGAAGAAACGGTACGAGATAGAACTCTTATAAATCTCTTGAACCATTTAAAGCCAGTCATGATTCTGTACTAAGGAAAATGGTGCGATGTAGAACTCTTCTGATTTGCTGGAACCATTCTATTTTAGTCATGATACCTCACAGAAAAAAGTGGTTCAGCATAAAACTCTTTTTAAATCTCTGGAACCATTTTTTTATCGATCATGATTCTTTATAAAGACAAAAGGTGTGAGGCAGAACCGTTTTAAAGCTTTTGAACCATTTTTCATCAGTCATGGTTCTTTATGAACAAAATTGATGCGAGATAGAACTTTTCTAAATATTTGGAACTATTTTTCATCTATCATGGTTCTTTATATAGAAAAATGGTGAAAGATAGAACTCTTCTCAGCCTCTGGAACCATTTTTTTATTTGACATGGTTCTTAGAATCATCTATAACCTTTTGATGGTTCACTAATAAACGAATGAAACCTTAAAAGGTTCTGAATCTTCGCTAAAACTTTTAATAGTTTCCTATGACGCCAATTTTTTGTAGAGAGTACAAATCTGCATAAGCTTGATAAGTGATTTTATGGGAATACAGGTAGCTCAAAAGACAGTTAACTGAAGAAAAATCGAATATCTTCGCTGCAGTTCAATCAAACGGACTGATTTTTTAGTTAGTAATAAAAATTTATTCAAAGGTATGTTTGTTAAAAACTAATGTTAATCTCACAAAAAAAAATTAAATGAGAAAAAGACATGTGGAACATTTCATGGAGATTTTTTACTGACTATGTGAGTGGATGAGTGAAAAATATCAAAACAAGCTTTATCAGTGTTACAATACTTGTACAAGTTGAGCGATTTTTCGAAACTAGTTCATTTACGAGGGGAAATTCATGTCCAATAACAAAAACGCACAATCAACTTTCTTTAAGCATTAAATTAACAATTTTCTTGCAAAAAATCGCTGTAAGATACTTAGGAACCTGAAATATTGCAACTGTTAATTTTTAAACTATCCTCAAAAACTCCATTGTATTTGCATCAGTATTGTATTTTTTGTAAAACTTGTTCTGATATCTTCCTCTCATCCACTAAGGTGGCAGCAAAAACTACTCTATGAAGCGCTCCACATGCATTTTTCTCATTTACCAACAGGTGACATCTTTTTTAGTAAGGTTGATATTAATTTCTAAAAACAACATATTTGTCAAACTATTCATATGAAAAAGCCTTTGAATAAACTTATATCACTAACCAAAAAAATCAGCTGATTTGATTGAATTACAATGAACATAATCAATTTTTTCTTCATTTAACTGACTTTTGGATCATCCTGTACATGTTGTTGCAGACATTTTCTCTGAAGCCTTCCGATTCGATAGTATCGCCATGGAAAAGATCATTGCTTCGGTTGCATTTTCAAAAAATATATCAATCGATTAGGAATGACTTTCTATGGACAAAAACAAGTTCTGTACTTTTTCTCATCCTCAAATCATGTTGATTAGCGTGATTTAGAATCATTCAATATCAAATCTTTTCATTCATAACTTCAGCATTTTGTTTCTCTTTTATTGCAGCGTATCTACAGATCCCTCTCGATGCTAAATGGACTCAGCACGGCGTTACTGTGGCTGGAGGAAATGGACAAGGCAGTAACCTTAATCAATTAGAACGAGTAGTCGGCTTCTATATCGATGATGATGATGATCAAACTCTTTACATCGCTGACCATGGAAATCAACGTATCATGAAATGGAAGCGTGATGCGACAAGTGGTCAACTGGTTGCCGGTGGAAATGGAGTTGGAAACAAGTCTAATCAGTTAAATTACCCAACAGATGTGATTCTTGACAAACAAACAGACAGTCTTATCATATGCGACTCTTCGAACCGACGAGTAGTACGATGGCCTCGTCATGATGGCAAAAGCGGAGAAACGATCGTCTTAAATGTGAAATGTGCGGATTTGGCAATGGATGACGAAGGATCTCTCTACGTCTCTGATGTAGAAAATCATGAAGTTAGGCGATGGCGAATGGGTGAAAAGAATGGAACAGTGGTGGCAGGTGGTAATGGACAAGGTAATCGTCGTGATCAGCTCGATTATCCTCAATCCGTCGTCGTCGATCAAGATCATTCAGTGTACGTATCGGACTGGCGCAATCATCGTGTAATGAAATGGATGAAAGGTGCGAAAGAAGGCATTATTATGGCTGGTGGTAACGGTAAAGGGGATGCTCTAACACAATTGCATTATCCAAATGGACTATTCGTCGATCGTTTGAATACTGTCTATGTGACTGACTCAGAAAATAATCGAATAATGCGTTGGCCGCAAGGAGCCACAAGCGGAAGTATTATCGTTGATGGAAACCAAAAAGGCTATCAAGGGAAAGAGCTTGATGATCTCAAAGGTTTATCATTCGATCGACACGGCAATCTCTATGTTGTCGATTTTTGGCGTCATCGAGTGCAAAAATTTTTAATCGAATTGTCACCTCACAATTAACGGACATAGCTAGTTTTTTGTTCTTTTTTTTCTCGAAAAACGTATCGCAAAAAGAATTAAGAAATAAATGAACTGATTTCTTTAGAAATATTTCATGTTTATCTATTTTTCGCTTATGTACAGGTCAACATCGGTCAGGTAATATACCTGTTTCATAGATCTTCACCTATGCTTTTCGAACACTGAAAGTCTCTGTGTGTTGAATGTACGATGCTCATACTTCGTGTGTCACATAATCCTCACCCTCAACATGTGCTGCTCTTTTTGCATCGCGTTCAACCTTACAACTATCGATTTTTTCGAAATGTTTATAATACATTTTCATTTTGCATATATATCAGCATAGAGACATCATAGAACCTTGATAATTTTTTTAAAGATACCCCGTGAAAAGCTCTGCAAAAATGATAATACAAAATTTCTGATGAGCTCTATCAATAGGTTTTTCTATAATCAAAATAAATTAATATATGGCAGTACTACTTCTCACCATACTGAGCAAACTGCAGAACATTTGGAAGACTTCTTGTTTTCGGCACATTTCGGATTGGAAAAATGATACTCTCAAATTTTTTTTAAAAGATGAGCTATAAAAAAGTAAAATTATAATGATTTCATTTATGAGAACTACCTTTTTAGATATTTTTATGTTTGCGCCTTTTTGTGTCTTATGGCGTCTACTATAACACTAACGGGTCAGATAAGTATATTTGTTGTCTATTGAAGAAAAAAAGCAAATAAAACGTTCAATTAACTTTGCAGTACGGGAATATAATGGCGTAGCCGTCAATTTGAAGGGTGTGGGTGTGTCTAGAGTTACCACGATAACCTAGGATATTTCGATGTTACTGAACTCAATCTTATCAAGTGGCCTTAGTACTAGTGCTTATGGATCCAAGATTTCGTTGAATTCTAACATAGTACTTGAAAATATCTACTTGAAAAGCCGAAGTCTAAGTAGATACACTCACAATAATAGTCGATGTGTATAGAGTTACCACGATAGCCTAGGATATTTCGATGTTAGTGACCCAATCTTATCAAGTGACCTCAGTATCAGTTAAGATTGATCCAAAACTGAATAAAAAACATGACAGCTGAATAGATCTATCCTGTTGAAAGAGTAGATACACCTACAGGAAAATTGGTGTGCAGTAGTTACCATGATAACGGAATTGTTCGTATCTGGTGTTTCTAAAGTGATTCCGCCCGAATTTATGTTTCCTATGCCTCTGGCAGATATTGTGCATCTTTTTATTTTGGGAATTTTGGAAATTGTTTTGGAGGTGGGGTTCTCTCGTTTTTATGGGTTTGCGGTGAATGGGATTGGGTAGCGTTATTTTTTGATGATGATAGTTGCATGATTTCAAGAATGTTGTTCGTTTTGTGGTGTAGGAGTCTACGGTAGGTAGAAAATGTGTCTTGCTTTCTTATGATTGAGCAGTTTATTTTGCGGTTTTTATGGGCATTTTTATGATGGTTGTTTTGTTGGGATAGGGGATTTATGCTTTAGTTTTTATTGCATCTGAAAATTATGAGTGAATTTAGCAGTTTATTTATCAAGTCACTGTAGTATGTGTTAATGTCGGTCTATTCAATATAAGGAAGTAAAGATATGCAGGAAAGTAGTTAATTATGTCCTGTTTGTGGTAGCAGTTGTTTGATCAATTCATAGAGAGGGTTTTTTTCGATTGATATTCCATGGAAGAGACAAGAATATTCATACGGATTAGGTTATGATGTGAGTGTAGGTGTGAGGGTACAGGTATAGGTTTAGAAAGGAATAACACCCACACACCCACACCCACACCCACACCCTTAGATCACAATTATCATCTTCTAAAATTATTAATATTCTTCTTCTTGGTGAAATAAATATCGATAAATCAACCTTTATCAATGCTTTTGTTAATTATCTTCAGTATAAAACATTTGAACAAGCTGAATCGAATAAACCTATTGTCTTCATATCTATGTCAGCTACTATGATGATCAACAATAATTATAAAGAACATATGGTAAGAAATAATGATTTTGAAGGTTCAAATAATTCTGCTCAATCAATAACACAACATTGTCAATCATATATATTTCAACTTAAGTATAATGATGAAATAAAATTACGTATTATCGATACACCTAGTTTTGATGATACACAAAATAAAATCAATATGCAACATATTTTAGAATATATAAATAATTTTTCATATTTAAATGCTATCTGTTTTCTAATTAAATCCAATACAGAACAAATGAACATATTTTTTCGATTATGTCTTACTCAATTAGTTGATTTTCTAGGTCCAAATACTCGTAAAAATCTTATCCTTTGTTTTACTCATACACAAGTACACGAAACAATTCTTAATTCATTTTCAATGAATGATATTCTATTTCGAGAAGACAATACATTCTGTTTCGATAGTGAATCATGTCAATATTTAGTAGCTCTACAAAATGGAATTCAATTCAATGATAGAGAGAAACAAAAATATGAAAAGAGTTGGTCAATTTCAGTAATGGAATCAAATCGTCTAATTAATTATATTCATAAGACTATAATTTGTTGTCTTATGCCAGGTAAATTACAATCAATTAAACATGCTCAATTCGAAATTATTCCTACGATACGACCTATGTTAGAAACAATGCATAATATTCTTCGAAATATTATTATACAAAATATGGATTCTACAGCAAAATCTATTGAAATACATTCTAATGTTATTCATCGTCCGGCTACAATTTGTCTCATGTGCAAACCTGAGATTCATCAAGTTGGTAACTTTTTGATTGTAAATGATTTTCCACATGAAATTCAAGAAGTATGTTATACTTGTTCATGTCCTTTCAATCAACATATTCCGATCGGTTATATGTTGAAATATGAACTTTCGAATCATTCTTTAAAGATTGATTTATATCAAGTGAAAGATTTATTATTGAAATTGTGTTATGCCAGTGCTGAATTTGCTCTTTCTTATGTATGCAGCATGTTCATCAAAACATGATCCATTTGATATTATACTAACACGAATGATTGATGAAGAAAATAATATTTGTCTTAGTCAAAATGTAAATTATTTAAATTTACAGTTGGTTAATGATTTAAGAAAGGTAAAATGTGATTATCAAATACAAATAAATGATATGAAGAATAATCATCGGTACAGTTCATTATCAGATATTTATAAATGGATTCAAATCATTCGAGAATATCCTATGGTACGTGAACAAATGATAGCGATCAAACAAGGACAAGAAATCATAATGAAACAATATGAATATGAACTACCAAATGATCTAAGCAAATAGATAAGTTTATGAAACGATGATTATTTTAATTCATGATTTGATTATTATTGTTACATGTTTTAAAACTCGAAGTTGGAACAAAAGTTTCATTTAAAATTTTGTCATTTGAAATAAAAATAAACTATTCTATTATGAAAGTGTTTATCATTTGATAACTTTGAATAATAATAATTAGCGAAACTTCTTATTTTCTAAAATTCGAGAAAACAACAAGAAAAATGTGTTTTTTTTTGTTTATTCGATTCATCCTTTGTTAAAATAAACGATAGCGTGAATATTTTATCAGAAAATATTCGTTCAATTTTCGACCACTAAAAGACAATTGATTTGGATCAGAGTTTCTCGAATATATGTTCACATTTTCTTTCTAGAGTAAAATCGAACCACCATCAACAATATTGTAACGGATTGAATTTCTTTACAAAATGTAATATTACAATAAGCGAAATCTCATCCACGTGTTTCCACTAAAGAAATAGTTTTGTCATTCAAAAGTAAATAGTATGCTTTGAGAAACAAAGTTTGTTCTTATGATCATTTCTGTCGTTGTAGTCGATATTCATTGAAAATCCCACGAAAATTTAAAAAGTTCAAAAAATGAATCTTTTACTGGTAAAAATTTCATTACAGTATCTTCCAGTGTACGAATAAATTTGCTATCGTGATTAACATACACATTGTGCACAAGTAAATGACACGATTTCACAAAATAAAAATTGATAATATCATGCTTAGTTGAATCATTGTTACTTTCATTTTCATCTTGTAGAACAAGTTTTTCAGCAAATTTATATTCAAAATAACGCGTATTAAAATAAAGTGAACCATTATAATGAAATCCAGCTCGAGCTAAATAAATCAATAAATTACATCAGTATTCGAATAGTTAAAATCTTACGCAAATTATTTTTATCATCATCTCGATAGAGCTTCATCAAAAGTACTGGTTTATCAAAAACATAAGTGGCAAGACCACTGAGTACAAGCGCTAGTTGTCGAACTCGATTAAGCATTGAGCCAGTTATGTGCACGTTTTTTTCTGTGTAGAATGGAATATCAAGAAAAGGATCCTTGAGGGTGTGGGTGTGAGTGTGGGTGTGGGTATGGGTGTGGGTGTGGGTGTGGGTTGGTGTGGGTGTGGGTGGGTGTGGGGGGTGGGTGTGGGTGTGGG